GCCCTGGAGGATCCTGGCTTGGACATCCATGGCAGGATGGGGTGACTTGATCCATAAGATCCCTCCATGAGCTGAGGATGGGATGAGCTCCAAGCAATGGGACTTGCACCGGGTCACCCAGATGGAGCCGACTCAGCCAACTTTGTCCTCTGATATGGACAAGGGACACGGGGAAAAGAGGAAACACAGCTGACCTACAAGGTTTGTGAGTCCTTCATCAGTAGGTTGGCAAAGAGCAGGATCAGGAAATCATCTCTCCACAGGTTCCCTGTCCTCCAACAACTCCCAGCTCACCTGCTATTGGAAAAACAAAGTTTGGCTTGGCTGCTTTCTCAGTTGGTCACCTCTTCTGTTCTTGTGATGATTTTTCCCCCTTATAAAAGCCACCAGAATTGCCTGACTTACTTCTCCCTTTCTCCACCTTGTTTGCCACCCCTTGTTGCTTCATTCTGCCTTTGTGCAGAACGGGAATTCCACCCCGCGTTCCTCACGTGCCTTCCTGTCCTTCTGTGCTCGTTGCAGGTGGGCTGTAAAGTAGCTGTTACCTTCTTCCTCTACTTCCTGGCAACCAATTACTACTGGATCCTGGTGGAAGGGCTCTATCTCCACAGCCTCATCTTCATGGCATTTTTCTCAGAGAAGAAATATCTTTGGGGATTCACATTATTTGGCTGGGGTAAGTCATGGCTGCTCCTCACAGCTCCCCTGGGAGGCAGTTTTTGGAGATGGTCGTGGGTATAAATAAACACAGGAGAAGGGATATTATAAATAAATACAGGATGAGCATCAGAGCCCCCCAGTGACTCTTGCAAGGACAGGGTTTCCCTCCTGTGAAAGCTTTATCCCTTCTGAAGTGTGGGATTTCCACTGTGGCACCCCCAGAGTCTCTGGAAGGATCAGCCCAGGCTTGGAGAGACAGCACATGGAGTCAGGGGATCCCAGAGTGGGTTGGGTTGAAAGGGACCTTAAAGACCATTTACTCCCATGGGCTGGGACACCTTCCACTAGCCCAGGTTGCTCCAAGCCCCTTCCAAGCCTTGGATACTTCCAGGGATGGGGCAGCTACAGCTTCTCTGGCAGTGCCTCCCCACCCTCCCATCCTGCCATCCTTCCAGGAGGGCTAAATTTGGCATTTAAGGATCCTCTGAGTTCTCCCCATCTCCTCCCAGCGCTCCAGTGGGGCTGGAGGGGCAGAAAGTTGCCAGAGGCTTTGAGCATCTGCTCCCAAAGCTCTGATTTCCTCCCTCTGACCTCAGCTGCTTTAAAAAGCTCCCTGAGGTTTCATGGAGCACCGGTGGAAACCTGCAATTTGTGGGGAAGGCTTTTTTTTTTTTCCCTTCCTTTTCTCTTTCAACTTGGGCATCTTTTCCGTGAGGACTGAGGAAGGGGCGGGATGTGGGTGCGGGAGGAGGCGTTGTGGGCACACACATGTCAGACAAAAATGTGATTTCTGTTCCCTTCTGGCCTTAGTTTTTGGCTTCCAAGGAGTTATGAGGTGCTGGGAGGCTCAGGACAATAAAACAAGTGCCCACAGTTGTCCCAGAGCCTGTGGAGTGTGAGGGAGCACGGGAAGTGTCTTGGATGATCCCTGAGGACACAATGGAGAGTAATGGGCTGTGGGTCCACACTGTAGCTCCCACCAGGAAAAACCTGGTCGAGGGGGGGGGTCTGTGGTTGCTCTAAACTGTGTGGCCCAGGCCTGCTTCCCACATTCCAGGTTTAAAATGCACCTGGCCACATCCTGACTGCAGCCTGGGACGAGGTTCATGTGTGCACCACGCCAGCCCCATCCCAGAGCTGCATTTCTTAGGGAAAAGAGCCGGTGTTTCCAAGCAAGGATTGAGTTTATGAAGGATTGGAGGTTTCTGGGATTCAGGCCAGCCTGCAGGAGTCTCCCCAGCTTTCCTCCTTCCCAAGTGGGATATGGGGAGAAGCTCCTTCAGTTGGTGACGAGGTCAGAAACTGCTGGTGCTGCCACAGGATAAGGATGGGAGGTGTAAAAATGAGTCTCAAATTGGGAATCCATCTCTCAGGAAAAGTCTAGACCTGGACAGCTGGAATGTTTAGGGGAAAAGAAAATAAATAAATAGATATTTGACAGGGCTTGGAGCAACCTGGGCTAGTGGAAGGTGTCCAGGGCTTGGAATGAGATGACCTTTAAGGTCCCTTCCAACCCAAACCATTCTGGGATTCTGTTTTGTGGATGGGGCATTTCCTACCTCAGCTGTTGTGGGACACAGAGGGCTGCAGGTGTCACCTCTTTTTTAAAACAAGTGGACAAACCCCCAAATCAATTAAATTAAATTAAAAAACAAAACAAACAAAACAAAACAAAATAAAACAAAACAAAAACAACAAACAAAAAACCCCAAACCAACCAAAAAAAAAAAAAAACCACCACAACAACAAACCAAACCCATCTTCTTCAAGTAAAATTGGCATCTTCAAGTAAAATTTACTTCTCAGAAAATGCCATTGAACTGTACAGAGCAGAGACTTAAAGAATCGATTCCCCAGAGGGAATTCTGGAAGAGAGGGGAGCAGGAGGAAAATAATGCCATATGTTCCATGAGAAAAACCAACTCTCTGCTGCTCAGAACTCGGCCAAAGGTAAACAGCCCCACAGGCAGGAGCTGCCCTCATTAATTCCCCCAAGCACTGCCAGGGAATAATCATTTTATCAGAGCAACCGCAGAGCCCGGGTCCCACCTGTCACAACACCCACCGTGGATGTGCTTCCAAGAGTTTGAGGCTGCTCCATTTAAATTCCTCTGGAATGAGAACACAGGACCCCTCCGGTGGCATTTGGGCTGCCTGTGTTTGGATTAGCATGATAATGTTCACACACGTATTGTTTGGATAGTTTTTTGGGCGCTGGGAAGGGGCAAACCAGTCCAGGAGCCACTGGAATCAGTGGAAAAACTCTCCAGCTCCCTGCAGTGGGCACTGGATCCTGCCCAGGCCACAGCAGGGAAGGGCACAGAGCCGGGGAGAAATAATTATGACGTTCCACGTAGGTACAGAAAAGGTGATTTTTGTCCTAAAAACAATATCATGACAATAAACAGCGTTGGATTCTTCCCGCCTGGAAATCTCCAAGGTGGGAAAGGGGTGCAAAAATCACCCTCCGAGGTGTTATTTCCAGACTACTGAGGAAACTGGGATATTTAGTTACTCTTTGATGTGAAATCCAAGGATTTCTGTCGGGTCTCTTCAATCCACAACCTCGCTGGCGCGAGGGAGCTCAGCTCCATCAAAAGTCCTCATTCCCTCCTTCCCAGGGAGACCCCGATGGCAGAAAGGGACCTGAGAAAATTAAATCAATAGTGACATTCTGGGCAACAATAAATTCCCCAGCAGCTGTTTTGGGAGGGAAGCCCAAGAGCCGTGACCAATAACTGGGAAACCCAAGCTGATCCCACTGGCATTTTTCCTTCACACCGTGGTAATTCCCTGCAGCTGGACCTCACTTGGATTTCAGCTCCAGAGGATTGGAGAAGGTAAATGGGGTGTGAGACTGTTAGAGGTGCTCAGGTCCAAAAATTATCTAAGCAGGAATCATCCTTTCCTGAGGGAATTTGTACCCAACAGGAGCAGAGGCATCAGAGGGTGTTGTTGTC